CAGCAACATGTGCGCGGCATTCCACGCGGAAACACAATTCACGCCCTCTCGCAAGTCGCCCAAGGATATACGGCCTCAGGGCCAGCGGCGAGCTAGCCCGAGCCGCCGAAATCGAATGCGGCTTCGGGGCGACACCTACGCATCCGCCGTCAATCTTTCTGACGCCCATGCCGAGGTCCAGCCGCGCCAGCGAGCGCCCCCAAGCAGCGACGTCGAACTGCGCCGGGCATACCTGGCAGACCGCCTCCTCCAAACATTTTTCACACAAGAGCCGGGAAACCAGAATTGCACCGTCAACGCACATGGAAACAGCCGCCACATGCGGCCACGACAGCCAGCCCTGCTGGTGGGCGCCTCCACCCGTGGAAGCGAGTGTCCGACCAGCTCTGGTCCGAATCGCTCATGACCACGCTGCAGCACCCAGTGGGGATGCCGCGCGCGCGTGCCACTCTGTCGCCAACAGCGGCAAAACACATTCTCGAGGCAGCACGGAGGCAAATCGCAAGCTCCCCCAGGGCGAACGTTTTCGCGCCTTGGCGCGGCTCTGACGCCGACCCTCCACGATATGAGCGGCGCTGGGGCGTGGAGAATACCGTCACTGCACCGCAGTGACCCTTTTCCCACAGCTTTCGCGCGGGGCTGCCCCACGGCAGAATCCACGAGACCCGGCGTTGCCATCTCGATAAAACGGCCCAGCGCCGCATCCGATGCCGCCTCGGCGCGCCTGCTGCGCGCGCGCGCCGTGGGGGGCACCGGCGCGGCCCCGCAAAGCCGTGGGCAACGCTGTCTAAGATCGCCAGCGGCGCCCTTGCGGCGCCGCGCCACCCAGCCGCCGCCGACCCAAACGCGAAAGGCCCCCAGCGCCCGCGAGATCTTCTGCCGCCTCTCACTGGCGGAGGCCAACTGCTGTAGTTTATGATGTCGCGGCAACAGCTGCGCCCCTGCTTCTGGCATGTCTGGCCATCTTGATTGAAACGCGTCGGCTTCGCCGAAACATGCAAATGGGGGAACTGCCACACTTTCCGAGAGATGCACAGCCAACATTGAAGCCTCAAGGGCGCGCGCATCTCGGAGACCTCCTGCAACGCGTCGTCTGCCACCGGCGCCAAAAAAGGCATCAACTCCCGTTGCGGCAAATTGATAATGCACAAAGAATGAGGCAGCAAACGCGCTGCAGGGAATTTGCCAGCACCACATTTGGTTTTGTCATCTTGGACAGTCTGCAGTCCTCGGCGGGGTGCCGCGCCCCGCGCGCGGCGAGCATGCCCCTTTCTCAGTCTGTTCCCAACGCCTGAGCACGCTGTTCAGCGCTGGGCAACGAAGCACATGCCTGTCGCATGCTTCCAAAACGTGCGCCACTCCTGCCATGCGGAACCCGGCAATCGCCGCTCGTGCCGCCATCCCGACCAGGTCTTTCTTGGAGAAGCGTCGTGGGGCACCCCATGTTTCGTCATGTAGCTCGGCGGCGGGAAGATCACTGGCGTCGGCCAACTGATCCTCGCTCAGGCTCTGCCCGGAATCGCAGGAAACACGTTGGGAGACAGACTACGCATTGCCAAAATTCGCGCGCATAGGCGTCTTGCCAGAATCCACGCGAAGGCGCGATGCGACACAACGCTGGCGCATCGACGGGAGGTGCAAATGACCAGCGCTGTGACGACCAGGGGGCCTAGACCTGGGGCTGGAGCTGGGATGCTGATACCAGCAGCGCGTGGCAGACGTGCGCCCTCCAAAATCCGCTCAAAAGCCATCCGGAAACGCTGTTGGCGCGCGGATCGGTCCAAGCAAGGAGCCCTTAGTATTGCCGCCACCTCAGCAGAGCGCACTGATGGCAAGGATAAGCTCCAATTGCGGCAACGGACCCCCGAGGCACCTGCGCGCGAGGCACAATATGCCCAAATGACAACAACGGCTATACTTGCATCTTGAATATAAGGGTAAGGCCAGAGGTTTCTTGCGTCGAACGCTGCATAGACTGACAAACCTCCTGCAAGGGGCGAGCCCACCGCCAATCACGTCGCAATGGCATGGACTTGGGGCCGTGTCGATGGTGGAGAAATCCACTGCTTAGCCCCCGGCCGTCCCGATGAAATGGGGGGCCCATCGCCGCCAATTCTCATCGTCGGACGGTCTTCGATCAGCCATGCCGGACACGGTGTAAGAGAAGGGCGGAAGGATGGCAAAAGCCTCCGTCGGGGACCGCTCGCAGGAATGCAAGGACTGGCACGTCTGGCCGGGGCCCCGCTGGCACTTGGGCGAAGTCTGCGAATGCTAATCCCCTCGGCCGCCTGATCGCCTGAGCAACTGAAGAATGACAAGACCTCAGGATAACGGAGCACGGGCACCCCTCGCGGCATCGCCTGGCAATGCGATAGCGCAGCTTGGAAGATGTGGCCAATGACGGCTTGCACTTTCGAGCCAAGTGCTCGCCCCATCTGTAAACGACACCACTCACCTGGGTCTGACGTTGCCTGTCCCGCCGGGCGAATCCGAGATATCAGAAATCGCGCGCGACCCAACCATAGACAAGGCCAGTATGCGCTGTCGCACACCGCTGCAAAGAGATCCACGTCCGTGCTGCGAGCTGGAGGAGGCACCGGCCAACATCGGCGATTAAACTTTGGCGACGCCAAAACAAATCGCGGGACCCTGGGCCCATTAACCCACCAAAGAGTCCTGATGGCTTGCAACTTCCATGGCGAACCTGCCATCTGGATGCAGATCATGAGGGCAACGTCGCCCGCAAACTGAGTCCAGAAACTTGTTGCTACGTCTGTGCCAGATGCTGCTGGCAAACATCCAACGTCCAACGTTCAAGCGACAGCAGGGTACACTATCTTCCAGACAGCGGAGGGACTTAGCGAAACACACCTCTGCCATAACCCTGCACACTGGTTCCGCATGACGACACCGAAGCTGTTTGTCCTCGTGAGTACGCTAGACCCGCAACCAGAAATTGTAAGACCACCTGTCTGGGAATGTCGCACGCGCTAACTGCTGGCGTTGTGCAGCAGGTTAAATGAAATTTGGAACAGTGTGACAAAAATGAATATGAATAGGAATGTGCGTCGATGGCCAACGCGGTGCTGGCTGGGGTCCATGAAGGATACACAGAAATACGTGTGAGAAAAAACCTGTCGAATAATCAATGTACTTTTCCAACCGGCAAGTTCGGTAATTAACTCCACTGCCGCGCGAGAGGTGCCATCATTTTCAAGTGACGGGAGGCTAGGGCAAACTGGTAAGCACCTCCTGATGCGCGCTTGCCCGCACCGCACACAAAGTCATGACAAAGTCATGGGCCCATCTGTTTACGGATCGCCAGAAAGAAGGAGAGAGAGAGAGAGACACACACACCGAGAAAATCTTCGTAACAATATCGTTTGGGGAGGGGGAGAGGGGGGGAAATGCGAGAAACCCTATCGTTCACTCGGGGCTCTTGCAAAGATTCTGGCACCCTGCCTTGACGGCCAGAGCTTCCCGGAGGACTTGCATTACGGTGGTCGATTCTTCCCCTTGGACGGAGACAAACACATGCCGGAAACGAGGCGCACGCCACCCCATAATCCGACAAATCCGTGACCAACTGGGCAGCATGATGTGCAAGGCAATCCACTGGAAGCATTCCGCTGCTCCTCTGCGAGCTTCTCGAAATCTGGTGCCTCCGTGCCGCTGGGACGAGGACGCTGGCCAGCGTCAGCCAGGAGGCCTGGCCTCGACAGGCAGGCCCGCGCGGCGCGAGTCACTAGCCCCTCCGGGAGCAGGCGCGCAACGGCCCCGACGCCCAGCTGGAAGCTCCAGCTCGCCTCGCCTGCCTCGCAGGCCCGGCAAGGGGTACACGGGTCTGGGCAGATCGCCGCCGATCCCCTCGCCTCGAGCGCCGCGGCCACGCACTCCGTCAGCGGGACGAGGGTGACGCCGTCCGCGGCCTCGTCCAGACCCGGTCGGGGCCAAGGCGGCCCTCCGCCGGCGGTGGAGGCTGGGGCGCGGCGGGCGGCGACCACCACCAGCGCAATAGGCAGAGCGCGCCCAGATGGCAGGAGAGGTGAAGGCCGAGCCCCCCGCTACACATGGGGCACAGAAGAGCCACTCCTCTCTTCAAGACTTAAGCGGGCACATGCGGCGGGATCCAGGACGGGCTATGTCGTTACAGGTAACATGTGGCGCAGGCACATACATAACATATATATATATATATATATATATGTATATATATGCGTATATATAGATGTGTGCATGTGTATGTATGCATGTATGAACGTATGTGCGTACGTATGTACGTATGTATGTATGTATGTATGCATGTATGTATGTGTGTATGTATGTATGTACGTATGTATGTATGTATGTATGTATATGGTTTGCGTGTGTGTATGTATGTATGCGTGTATACATGTATGTGTGTAGGTTTGTATGTATGTAAGTATGTGTGTATGTGTATGTATGTATGTATGTGTGGATACTTGTATGTGTGCATGTATGTGTGTATGTATGCACGTGTATCAGTATGTGGGTATGTGTGTATGTATGCATGCATGTATGTATGAATGTATGCATGTATGTTTATGTATATGCAGGTGTGCATGTATACATGCATGCATGCGTGTATACATGTAGGTGTGTACGCATGGATGTATATATGCATGTATGTGTTCATATAGGTACGTTCGTACGTTTGTATGGCTGTATGTTTGTAAGTTTGTGTGTTTGGTTGTGTGTTTGAATGTATGTATGTATGTATGTATGTATGTATGCATGTGTGCATGTGTGTATGCATGTGTGCATGTGTGTATATGTATGGATGTATGCATGTACATATATTTATATATAGATGTATGTTCGATTGCTGGATTGTTCGCTTGCTTGTTTGTATGTGTATTTACATATGTACAGATGTGTACACACACACACCTATATATACATATATGTTATATATATATATGCGCACAGGACTACCATAATGCCCTTCCGCGCGGTGCCCAGGCAGCGGGAGGCCCGTCCTCTGCAACCTCTTCACCTCCTCTCGTAGCGAGTCGAGGGAGGAGAAGCCTGCGGGCGGCGCGGGGCCGGCGCTGCGGTGCGGGGGCGGGGGCGCACCCGCCCAGACCACATGCTCCAGTCAACTCGCAGATTAAGGATGAGCGATTTTCCAAGGTTGCCCTCGCATCCTTCCCCTTCGTCCCATCCTTGGCCGCTTTCGCTGGCCGCGCCCCGCTCGCAAAATGTCGGCATGGTTTCCTGAGGCCCTTGCATCCTTGTCGCGGGTCCTTACTTACACGGGTTGACCGTGCTTGCGCCCAGTGTACGCGTCAGCGCCTCGGCCTCAAAGCAGCCAGCCGGCCGGGCTCCACGCCGGCCCCACGATCCCGGGGAGAAGGAGGAGGGAATGCGCGCGCGTGCGGCCCTCGTGGGCAGCAGCGAAGGCCCGCCCAGCTTCTGAGACGGCCGCCGACTCAGAGTGCCCAGCCCAGACCGCTGGTCACTCCATTCAGTAGTCGCCTCCCAGATGGGATGGGCGTCGCTTCATGGGGGGGGGGGGGGGGGCGGTCCATGAGGGGCGGAAGAAAGGTGTACTTGTCGGGCCCTCGAAGCCCCCACCCAGTTGGGCCCTCAAGAGCCTCTGCAAAGTCCCTACAAGGCCCCTTTTCTGTAGCCCTCGCTGCCCCCCCATTTGTCGCCCCCCCATTTCGCGGCGCACACATGGGCTCAGAGCAGATGGGGTCGGAAATTCGCCAACGCATCGCCAGCACATCGGCGGCGTCGGCGATGCAACGCCGCCATCGGCATGGACAAAATCGGGCTTCACATCGAGCCGCATCGCCGATGCATCCGCGATGCGGCGCGATCCTCCAACCCATTCTTGTTCGGACCCCATTTGGGAGGCCTAGGGAACTCTGGCGACTCATTGGCCCGAACTGGCGGCATCCAGGAAAGCTCCGTTTTCGAGCGCTAAGGCCGTCAGAAAATACTCCGAGATGAAGCGCCGGCCCAGGGGAAGGGGTTGAGAATTCCATGGAGACAGCGCCTCGAACAAGCCTTGACGTCGCATGTCTCGAGGACTGTACACCGACTGAAACTGGGCAGCGGGGCAGCGGGGGGCCGAGGCGATGTGGACGCGAGCCGAGGCACTGCATACTGGGGCGGCGCGGAGGCAAGGCAATGCTGGGGGCGGCCAGGGATGGGCGATGGCTCAGAAAAGCTGCGACAAAAAGCATTTCAAACATAATGTGCAAGGCGAAGACGAATTCTAGAGATGGATCCTGGGGAACGCTGTAGATGGATGAAGCGACGAAGACCCTTTCAACAATCCATGGTGCCAGCGCGTGCACCCAACTGTCATCAGAAATGCCGCGTGCGGCGCAAAGTCAGCCAGGAACGCCCACGCAGTGTGGGCAAAAAAAAGCCCAGGGCCCCACAGCACGCCCGAGGAAGTTCAGGGCCCAGCACGGTAGACGGGAATACCCGAGGCCTCACGTGGCGGCACCGGCGGGGCGCGGCAAGCCAGCGGGAAGTGGGCAGGGCTGGGCATGCCCAGGACCCCTCGCGGCGGCAACGGCTGCGCCGCACGATGCACCAAGTAGGAAGCGGGCGGGGTGGAAACTGCCCAGGGGTCCATGCAATGATGAGAGCGCGGTGTGAAGAAAGCCCGGAGCTCAACGCGGCGATCACCCCCCAGGCAATTTCTTTCATGATCCGCCGCCGTGCCTTGAAGCACGAATTGGAGTGTCCTCGGGTCCTTGGCCGAATCCCTGAAGCCTCAATCCTGAGGATTCCTTACGGGGTCCATAGCCCGAGCTCCTCAATCTCACGGGGCTTCCCGCGTGCCTTCCGGGTATTGTCACATATTTGTTCGGGCCCAGGAGGGCCCCAAGAAGGGCCAAGAGCGCTGCAGGAGGCAAAAAAGACTGTCAGAGAGGGCCCCGGATCGCCGAACGATCGGTCCAAGACGCCCAAGATGGTCTGAAGACAACTGAAAAGGCGCTCCAAGCGGCCTCCCCATATGGCCCCAAGAGGTAACTGTCTCTAAATACCCTTCGGAAAACGTACATGTTGTAGCGTGTCCGACTTTTCGGCCTCACGGCTTTCAAGACGGCAAGATAAGCCCCCCAAGATCGCCACGACGGCCCAACACGCCCCCAAGAGGGCCGTAGAGGCCCCCAAGAGGCCCCCAAGAGGCCCCCACGATGCTCCAAGAGGCTCCAAAACGGTAATTCACCAAGAGGCCTCAATGTGCCTCCAAGAGGCCCCCAGAGAGGCCTTTCACGATACCCCAACGACCATGCACGAGGCCTCTGACCGACAGCCCAGGCACGGTGGCCGCATGGGCCGAGGGCCATTGGATGTCCGCCGCCCTCTGCTGGCCTGCCACAGGGGAGCCCGGCGCGCGGAATCCTACAGGGTGTGGCTCGGGCTCCTTTCCGAGAGAATCCCCCCCCCTTGGGGCTGCGGCCCCGCGCGCCGGCCACCCGAAAGCCCGCGGGAAAAGTACCAACCGGTCGTGTTCTTTTCCAAGACGGCCCCAGGATGGCCTCCGGGACGGCTGAGATAGCCCAAGATGGCCTCCAAATTCGCCCAAGATGGTCCAAGATGGCCTCCAAGACGGCCCTAGAGGGTCCAAGATGGCTCCAAATCAGCCCAAGAAGCCTCCAGGACGACCCAAGATGGCCTCAAGATGGCCCAGGACGGGCCAAGAGGCCCCCAACAGGGCCTCAAGAAGGCCCGAAGAGGCCAAAATCATGAATTGCCCCTAGGTGTTCCAAGGATTTTGGCATTTGCTTCTTTTCGGCCTCCCAACGGCCCGAGACGGCCCAAGATCCCCCAACGATCGCCCCAAGATCGCCCAAGAGGCCTCAAGATGGCCCCAGAACGACCCAAGAGGGCCCCACGACGGCCCCAAGAGGGCCGGGAGACGGCCCAAGAGGCCTCCCAAACGCCCAACGAAAGGGCCCCAACGAAAGGGCCCCAAGTCGGCCCAGACAGCCCCCCCAAGACAGTTTCCGACGGCGTCACACGGGCGAGGAGGTCATCAAGGCGGCCCAAGATGGCTCCAAGATAACCCCGAACGGCCCAGGAGGCCACCAAGAGGTCCCCATGACGGCCCAAGAGGCCTCCCAGAAGGCCTCCAGGAAGGACCGAAGATGCCAAAAATATGAGTTTCTTTGTATTTGGTTCTTTTTTACACAAACTAAAAAAACATGTGATTTTGGCATTTGCTTCTTTTCGGCCTTCCGATGGCCAGAGACGGCCAAGAGCCCCCAACGATCGCCCCAAGAGCGCCCAAGAGGCTTCAAGACGGCCCCAGAACGGCCCAAAAGGCCCCCACAACGGCCCCAAGGAGCCCCGAGACGGCGGCCCAGAGAGGCCCCCAAGGCTGCTTCCGACGGTGTCAGACGGGCCAGGAGGCCACCAAGACGACCCAAGATGGCTCAAAGATAGCCCAGGACTGTCCAAAAGGCCCCCAAGAAGTCCCCAAGACGGCACAAGAGGCCCCGAAGAGGGCCTCCAGGAAGGCCCGAAGAGGCCAAAATCATTGATTTTCCATGTCCGTTTGACGGATTTTGGTATGTGCTTCCCTCGGCATTCCGACAGCCCGAGACGGCCGAAGAGGCCCCAAAGATCGTGCCAAGATCGCCCAAGAAATCTCCAAGATGGCACCAGAACGGCCTCCAAAAGGGCCCCAAGACGGCCGAAGAGGCCGTCAAGACGGCCATGGAGCACCCTTAGAGGGCCCCAAGTCGGCCCAGACAGGCCCCAAAGACGGCTTCCGACGGCGTCAGACGGGCCAGGAATGCCCTAAGACGGCCAAACAGGCCCCCGAGAAGCCCCCCAAAGCCCCCAAGAAGCCTCCACAAGGCACCCTAGGAAGCTCCCAGGAGGCCCCATGCGTGCATCCAGAGGCTCCCAAGATATCACGTCCTGCTCCTCCTCCTCCTCCTCTTCCTCCTCCGTCTCCTCCCTGTCCTGCTCCTCCTCCTGCAGATCTTTCACGCCATCCTCCCCCAAATGTTCCCTGAAGGATTTCCACAGCGGCTGGGGGAGCACATGGTCCGATAGCTTGGCAGAACGCTTGCCACGTCGCTCAGCCACATGGGCCATTCCAAGAGGCAGGGGGCGGCGGTGATTCGCCGTAGGCGTCTTCGATAACACTAACCCCAAAACCCAAGATTGGCGAACACTAGGACTGTCCATGCATGAACTGTGGGCTCTGGCAAACGGATAAACTATCAGAGAAGTGTTTGCGCGACTCCGTATCACTACAACGTCTCATCATGCTCGTTGTGCTTCGTATGCGTAACATATCACGCACCTATTGGCAAAAATGACCACCGCGCGAACGGGAACAACTGACAGTCCTGTTGATCCATGATAGCACAGAACAACAAAATTGAGTGCGGTGGGTGAATAACCACGAGGCTGGTCTTGCGTAACGGGTCAGACATCCAGCCTCCTCTACGAAAGCTGGGAACCTGGATGTCCTTCCAGCTTGATGTAGGGGATAAGGTTGAGAACTCCGAATCACAAGCACGACGCTGACTATCAGCCAGCCGCTACGCACAGAAGGCCGCCCACGGCGTCGTTGCTACGACGGCTTGACGCGCTGACTACAACCTTGTTTTCTTTGTTGTGTGATTGCCCTGAGCTCCGCTCAGGGCGAGAATGGTCACCAGAGTTTCGACAAGCGCGTTTGGCGCTCAACGATAGCGACTCCGACGTCGCAGAGTCACATGCTACACGCAGGTGCACAAGCGAATTATGTCAGCTGTGCCGTATATGTCGGCGAAAATATCGGCGCAGCACGCAATACCAAAGGGCAACACGTTAGACCAGGGCGGAGGCGAATGCGACCTGCGGTCAACCAACTGACAAAGAAGAACATGGTATGTTGAATATTTAGGGGACCTTGTTCGTTCCGTCGCGCCGCGTCGAATCGGCTTCGAATCCGCGTCAGATACAAACGAGGGGCGCACATTTTACGAGACGGACGAGGCCCCGCACAAGATGCTAAACGCAGAGGGGGAGGACGCGATGCAGGAACACGACGATAACGGGACAGATCAGGCGACAGGGCCTCCGCCAGCAGGCCCCTCCATCCGCGGGCGTTTCACCCCGCCGGCTGGCGCCGTCATCATCGGCGGGCCCTGGGCGGGGAGGCGCAGAGAGCGGAGCTCGGACACCGCCGCACCGTGGGAGGCGTGGCGAACGCGGGCACCCTCGCGCCGAGCCTGGTGTCCGACGAGAAAGGCGGCGCGTGCCCGACACGGTCTTCCAGAGCCAGGGGCAAGACAGGAACCAAAAACGGGACAACATCGGAACGGGACTAAGCTTAGATCGGGCGTGTTGTGTACACGCAGATGTTCGACGACAAATGAAACATACTCCACAAAAATACCCCAAACAAAATCAAACATGGGGGAAACAAAACATCGCCCCTGCTTTGTTGAACTATGCTTGAATATTCCCCCTGTAGAGGGATAGGCTCGACTTCAGACTAATCGGGAATCTCTGAGGTCTGGCGGTACTGGGGGATGCATCGGGCGCCGCGGCCGTTCCAGAGAACTCCAGAAGGCTCTGAGAGCCCCGCCCGGAGAGGGTCGCACTGGACGCCTCGATGCCGGGCACGTGCCGCGGCCGCCAGCATGTCGGCGGCGACGATAGGGGCGAATAGCCCAGGGGCGGGCATTACACGTATTCGCCCGGAAGCCTTTCCGAAGACATAGATCATCGGCGCACCTGAATAGATGTATTGCTCTCCCCTGGGCTACTCGCCCCTAGCGTCGCCTCTGAGAATGTGTGCGCGAGGAACGGGAGGCTTCTATGGCCACGGCGGGCCTCAAGCAAAGCAGGTTCCCCGACGCTGGCCCGATGAACGGTTCGGAAACGCAGCCCCTCCCGAGCCGAAGGGGTTCCTTGTGGCAACGTCAGACTGCAGGTCGGTCTGCGCGTACCGCGGGCTCGTGTCGTGTCGACCCAAGCGCTTGTTCCTGACCCCGCTGGAATCGTTCAACCTGCACCGATCAGCCGTTTCAGAAACGCCAGATCGTTCAACATCGACCGATTCTGGTCTCTGGCGGCGCTGAAACGTTGAACGCCAGCGGCGGGGTCGCCGCCAGCCGACACGACTCGAACCTACCGTAGTCACACTCATGGTTGCAATTTCAGCTTGCGCATCCTACAACATTGCGACGGATCCGCTAAGGCCCCCCCGCTCATCAGGATCATCTTTTTGCAATCCCTCCCTCCTTCCACCCTCTCCCTCGTCCGCTCTCCTTTTTCCCCTCGCAAACGCATCTGCGATGCATCGGTGGCCGCGGAATGGTGAAGATCGGGCTCCGGATCGTGCCGCAGCGCCCCACCTACTGCAGCCTCAATAAGGCGGCCTGGATCATGGATTCTCACCTTCCCACTTGACTCTTGCGTAGAAAGAAAAACTGCAGAAATCTGCGCAGATTCTTTCAGGCAGCGCTGCCCTCACACACGCACACACACACCCGCACGCACGCACGAACGCACGCACGCACGCACCCGCACGCATGCACGCGCACACCCACACCCGGACCCACACCCACCGTCCGCCGTCCACCGCCGTCCACCGCTACAGCCACACCGCGGCCCTGTGACCGAGGCAAACGGCAACCCACGGATGGAGTGAGGCCTTGCGCTCGAACGGGCGGCCAGCAACTCGGCAGCCAGGCGCCATGCTGGGAAACGGCCGCGGCGGAAATCGACGTGCAACTGCCGCCCGCGC